TAAAAATGACCAAATCTGAGAGAGGTCTATCTGAGGTGTTTAATATCAAAGCAATCAGAATGTGGTTTTCAACAAGTAGTCATAAATATCGCTTTTTACCGAAAATGACAAAAGTATAATTCCTCAAAATTTAGAGAATTAAAGATATCATCATGAAATGAACAATTTTAGGAGAGGTCTACCCAAGGTACATATACACCAAGTATTCAGGCTTGTAGTTTTCAAGAAGAATTTGAAAAAGTAAAAAGTTGACACGGACGATTACGAACAATCACTCATATGATATGCTCTGCTCGACAAAGTCGACAACGGAGCTAAAAAGATAAATTCATCATCTATAATTCATGAACATTAAAAAGGGTTTTATCCACACACACACAAAAATATAAATCAATTCTCAAAAAAAGCAGAAAAGATACCACTATGTACATCATACTTTTTAGTTTTTTAATGAATTTGTTGCAATGTAATATATGCAAAAGTCGACAGTCAAATTTTGTGCAAATAAACACATCTTACACTTGTATCGACTTTTACACATCACATAGATTCCCAATACCACATGGAATACTTAACAGTTCAAGAAACATGGTGCTTTAATAAAAACCCTTAACAGGCCTCCGCTTTACAAATTTGTGAAATACCACTTCCAGAAGAAGTTAAAAACATACAATGTGTAAAAATGATATTTTTGCCAAAATAGAATATGAAATGACAAACAGAGTTGCCTTAATCAGCAGCTACCATCAAATTCATATTCATACATCCAATGGTGTATATATTGGTCAGGAAATGGTACCTCACAGATCTACAAAGTGGGAATGAAACATTAACAGTACTTAAAAGTGCATTTCATAGTAGCATTTTATATACATGTATTATTTTGGTAGACATTTCAACATGAAATGCATTGGCAAATATTCCTTGCATTTAATTTTCATGTCTGAAGTAAAAAAGTTACAAAACAAAAATAAAAGAATTATAGTCATGTTACTAACTGGTAGCCATATTTTGTGACAAAAAGCACAACTTTTAATGTTTCTTATATAAATTAAATTAAAAGTAGAAAACAAAGTAAATACTGGGTGTGCAATGAATTTGGCCATGGCCTTAAGTAGCCAAGTAGAATATTGTATCTCAAAATATAGCTACACATCTACAGATATATATTGATAAAAGAGGATTAATTTATAACAAAGATAAATGTACATTACTAGTTATCTGACATTTTCAGATACAAAAATACTTTAATATCAAAAAATAGAGAAAACAAATATCTAAGATGAGTTTGTTTGTAAATATACCAGAAAAGTACATGTAAAATTTAGTAATCAGAAACATAGTTACTTATTTTTAATAGAGACATTTTTTTTTGGATTGGTCATTAGATAAGATTAGTTTTTTTTTCTGTTTTATTTTTGTCTCACAAACCTACTGTTTTTTAATTAAAAATTAGAGAAGTTACTTTTTCTAGGATTGGTTATAAGTATTTTTTTTTTATTTTCATTTTTTTTGAAGTCAACTTTATTACCAATCCAAAATAACTTTGATTTTCCAAATATTTCTTAAATTGAAAACAGACTATGTATAAAGTCATTGTTGCTATGACAATCCAAACCTTAGGTGACCTTATTATTATGAAATACAAGTTAAACTTCTGTCGCCACTGATGTTGCATGGTTAGCTATTTAAGATTCTTGTCTGATAATCTGTGCCTTTTGTTCTAACAGCTGGTCTACCCTACCCACAATTCACCTGTAATATGTTGTACATATTGAAAAAAAAAAATGCACAAAAATTTACTTTTTAAAATGATTACATCACGAAATAGAGTTTCAGCATACAGTTGGTGCATCATGGGAAGAGTAGCTGCAAGAAGTACTGATCTTTTATACATTCCTGGGAGATAAAATATTTTTTTTTATGTCCATAACAAAAATTTCACATTAGCTATTTCTTTAAAAAATTATGTAATATTGTAGTAATGCCACATACACCACTGATCAACTTTTTTCAATTGTTGTATCTTACAGAAAAACATCAAAAATACTCCACATGTAAAAAAATTACAAAAAAATTACAAACAACTAATAATTTA